TATGTCAATTTAGATAAAAGATACCGAAAAAAATATTGCCAAAAATAGCTGAACAGCCCAAAATTCTACTTAAGAAATCCAATTTCGACTTCCAAGGTGGATTTGCCTCAAACCAAAGAGAGGATCAATATGTAAACTTCCTCCATTCCTCACTGATCAAATGCTTTAGATATAGGCCAGTTTTAACCTAAAACTCCGCCTTTTCTATTTGTTTTCAGATTTTGGGATTTGAGGCAAAACTGCATTAGGAACTAATGGCTTTAAACCCTCGTTTTCAGCAGCACAAATCCTCCCATAACAAGGAGGGGGCTGGGGCCTGCAGGAGGAACCTCGGGATGCAGGGAATAGGCAGCAGTACAACAGGGGCCGGAATTTAGGAGAGGACCTCAATCATCCTTTAGACCCGGACTCCATAGGTGTGAACGGTAGAACAACTTTGGCAAGAACCTGAGTCAAGAATCAGCTCTTCAGTTTGGGAGCCACCCAAAGTGGGAGGCAATATGCAGGAAAAGAAACTGAAACTTTCCATCTTGATAAAAGCTGCATCTCCATAGGGGGTGAGATCACGTCCCTCCTTAGCAGCTGATTGGAGTTTTCCGTCCTTGGTTATGTTCAAGATTCCCTGTAGTTTTTGCTCTGTGGTTGTTGTTGTTCAATGTTGATTCTTTTCAAATCAATTAGTTGAGAAACTAACAACATCACTCACTGAGCATCTTTGTGGAACAACAAGATAGAAGAAATGTGAGCGAAGCCTGGTTCTTATTGACATTGTTTGTCTGGTAGATAGTCCAAAAAGAATACAATGTGCCGTGCCCTGATACCATCTCTACTTAATGTAGTACAGCCTGCCATGGATCTGTACTTAACAAGGGAAAAGAAAATATTTTTAATAGTCTCTTGGGGGGCGGGGAAGCAACTCTTTAGTCTATTCCAAATTAGGGGCAAAAGAGTGGCGGCTGCCTCCTCCTCCTGTGCCAAGCAGCTGAGATGTGTACTCTACAAGGTGGCCAAGAAGAGCTCGAACCCCGCGGGAGAAAATATTATCTTGTACTTGTGTCCTTTTCTCCCAATCCACTCATCAAAGATTTATCTGACCTGTACTTATAAGGTTTGAAAAATGAGGGGGCTGTGCAGAGGGAAAACTAAAGGGGGACCTACTAATTCAAAAGGAGTTTATGTGGGTGGTCCCGTGTTCTTATTGGCAGGGCTAGTCTGAGCTGCGTGGTGTGTGCTACAAAGGGATGCTTTCAGGGCTGGATGCAGTAGATCACACCCCTGTGGGCGTAATGAATAGGAAAGCATTCTGTTCCATTTGGGGTTGAGTGAGAGCAATTATACTTGGGTCATTCGGCAATGGGTACATGGATTCTTCATCATATTCTACGTGGTAATAACAGGAGCTCTGCATATCGACCAGTCAGTCGCAGGCAGTACAATCTTTTAAAAGGCTTCCTTTTGAAGCCTAGGTGGTTAGCTCTTATCTCTGAGTCTACAGCTTATTCCCATTAGGGTTCAGTGAAGATTAAATGGAAGGAAACTCTATGGCATCCAGCTTACCTTATTTCCAGGTAGTCTTTCTTTTTTTTTCCTTTTGTAGTGTTGGGGATTGAACTCAGGACCTTGTGCTTGGCAGGCAGGTGCTTATGCCCCTGAGCTATATCCCCAGCCCTATCTCCAGGTAGGCTACAAGTGCATTTCTTGAGTTGCTGCGGGAATAAAATCGCTCATCTCCTTCCTAAACTGGGTTCTAATATACGTGATACCCTGAGCAATTCATTACAATATGCTTTTACTAACACTTTGACCTATGAGAGCAGTTTTGGGAGAAATTTTGGCTAAGTTGATTCTAAGTTATGGGTTTTCTTTTCCTCAGATACATGGCTTCCTTCTTCTAGTGATTGTGTGACCCTTTAATTTATTTCTATCCCACTAGGAAATAATATGTATGCCCTACCACTCAGGAATGAGATATCCCACATGCATTTAATAGCCTTGTGGCGTTAGCATCTAACTCCTATGGAGATGCCTGGGGGTCTGCGAATGACAGCTATTTAGCTGGGCCACAGAGAAAAGGCCCCCGGGGATGAGTGGCAGGCAGCAGGTGGCCATGTCCTCCTCAGTGACTTCTGAAAGATGTGTTCAATCATCAGTTGAGATTTAGAATAACAGCCAGCAAAGGCTTCCTGCACACCTACTGGTGTCCGCCAACAGATTGAGTTACTTTAATGTGTTTCTTATTTAATTTTGATTCTCAAAACAACAAACACAACATGTATTAAGATTATAATGGCCTCACATTAAAACAAAATGGAGCTCACCTTACAGGCAAGAAAAAGCACTCCCTCCTTCTCTATTCTTTTCTCCTTCATGCTAGGAGCAGAAGGATTATTTTAAAGGAAGAAAAGAGAGAACAATCTGGCTCTTGGATGTTTCTTTTATTTGCTCCTTTAGTGTAGCTCAGGATGTCTCAATCCTAAATGTGAATATATCTTAGTATAAGCATTAACTTGCCTGTCTTGATCCTTTAAGGGTGACTTAAGTGCTCAATTTGGTTGTCAGGAGTTCAGATTCTCGCTTTCGACATTGACTTTCTAGCTTTCAATTAGCAAAAAGCTCTGCTGTATTCAAAATGTGTATTGCAACTTTTAAAATGTAAAAACAAAATTTTAAAAGCAATTGCTACCCAAGGTTTCTGTGAGTGACAGAAGGCCCTAGAGAACTGTCCGACCATCTTGTTTGTTAGCATCAGGGTCTCATTGCCTTGGCATTGTCAACCACAAGAAAGAAAATGGATCAAATAAGAAATAATTCTTTAGGTTCAGTTTCTTTTAAAAGAAATTGTTCTTCTTTTGCAGGCCTATAAAGAGAACATTTTCTCTCTATCCTTCTCTGTCTCAGCCTTTCAACTTTTTTCTATATCTTTTCTCACCTATAGAAGGAAAAGCAGATGCGTTCTTTACAAGGAGTAACTTTGAAAACACTGTTTTTTTCAACCCAGTGTAACAAGCTTTTCTGAAATAACTCTTCTTTCCTATGCTTCCTATAGTAGTTCTTTGCCACATGAAACTCTAAAAAGCACCAGATTTGCCATTAAGAACTGGGACTTTGCGAAATTAGTTTGACTTCTCTAAGACTGTTTCCCTGCTAGTAGAACAGGGATAATTTTTGCTGCCTCCCAAGACTATTAAGAACAATATGCTGAGGATGCAGCAGGCTTTCCATCATGTTTGTTGACTGAATGAGAAGCAATCGTATGGCACACAGTGTGGACACAATCACAGAATCCACCCTCCTTCAACTGCAGTCGTTCCTCCCTCAAAGCTGCTCAATAAATAAAAATGTTTTTATCTTAAATATGCTAGTGAAGTGAAAAGAACAAACTTGGGAGACAAGAGCACATTGGTGGTAGAATAGAATATTTGTGTGTGTGTGTGTGATTGGCTCAGCCTGCCATGGGGGCAAGGCTGGCATGGCATGTGGTGCTTGGGATCGAACCTGCGGTCCCTGTTCTTGCCTAAGCTTGCCTAAGGCGCTTTAGTCTGCTGAGCTAGAGTAGAGGATTAATATATAATAAAAAACATTTGAGAGACTTCATTGGTAAATTTCAGTTTTGTCCAGTTTCCAGTCTTTCACTAAAACTCATTTCCTAAGAGCGCCCAGATACCAGGAATATGGGTACATTGACACATCCCCATGGCTGGAACCTCTATATCCACTTAAACTGGGTTCCCTGAATGTCAGCTCAGCCTCACTCCCCCAGGCTCCCTCAGGCCTCCACAGTGTCAGACATATCAGTCCATCTGTCCTCATCTCCCACATCTGGGATCCCTGGAGTCTTCTGTTTGGTCCTCCTGCTATAATCTAGTGGCCCCTGCCAAGCTCAATGGATCCAACTCAACAGTGTAGGAAAGCTAGACTTTGAGGCCCTGCATGACTAAATGGCAATGCCAGGCTTTTTGTGGCAAGAGCACTCTCTAGATTGGCATGAAGGTTTCATCAAGGTGGCTTCTTCCCATGGTGCTGAGTGTCAATGTACAAGAATTTTCTCGCTCTTCAGCTTTTCTTTGGCTTCCCTAACTCACCTGCTCTTCGTCCCAGACATCAGAGATCAGGAGACCTATGAAGACTATTACCCCTTGCTCCCCCATATTAACATGGACCTGCCTTATTGCCTTTATATCATCTGTTCCTCCACTCTAATGCAAAGGGAGCCTTAATGGCTGGTGGATGGTTCCTATCTTCTATGTTAACTCTACAATCTTAATTTCCTATGATTGGTAGTTGGTCTGCTAATACAAGCAAGAAATGAAAGAATATAAAATTTCTCTCCAGACACAATCTTGGTTGGCAAGGCTGTATTCTTTTCTGCATAATCTTATTTTATATGTCAGAAATTAAATATTGCCTTGGTATTTCTCTTGTACTGCTTTAAAACTTAGTTCTAATCTCTATAGGCAGATGGATGGCTTGGAGTAAGTTGGAAAATAAAAGTCTTTTCTTACATTTGAAAAGACAAGGAAAAATGTACATTATAATATTTTGAATATTTACTTATAGCATTTCCAAATAGAAGTGTTGTTTATTAGGAAATTTCCTCCTAAGACCATTATGAAGATGTTCAGGTCACAAAGGGCTGTGTAATATTTTTAAATAACTCATCTATTATTTGTATATACCATAATTACACAAAATACAAACTAGACCCTGCAAATTCCACACATCTAGAACCATTTGTATCCTATAGCTCTATTCTCAGCTTACACTATCTTGGTACTTTTATGGTGTTGGCACCTATTTATCCTGGACTAACCTGTGATCAGTTTTCCCAAATGGAATCTTAAAAACCCCTCAGCTATTCTCTAAGACTCAGATATTTGATTCTATGTTGTGTTGGAATTAATAAACTGAATGGCCTGGTTTCATTGCTAGTGTTTCATGTACACATTGATGTAAATTTTAAAGTAGAAGAGCAGAAACTGAAAGTATATTTTTTTTGGCAGGCATTTGATGTACTTGGAAGAATTGAAGCTTACCTTAAGCTCCTTAAATCAGAGGGCTTAAGTCTGCCTGTGTTGGCAGCGAGGCAGGAGGAACTACACAGAGAAATTAAAGAGTGCACAGCCGGGGTTTTGCAAAAGGGACAAACCTTAATCAGCCAAGTAGACTCCTGCAGGTGAGTAAACTGCACTTCATCCCTCATGTGATAGGCTTCCTCACAGTTTCCACAGCCTATTAAAAAATAAGTTGCATGATGTTTTTCCTGCTTCTGATGTTTTGCTGCATTACACTATGGCTTACAGGACGAACTGAATCTTAGCCCACAGTAACACTGCACGTAGTGTTGCTTATCCAGAACTGAGGCCGTGTTCTAAGCCCGAGGACTCAAGATACAGAAGCTTTCTCTCAGCATGTTTCTGAGAAGGGGCCTGGGGATAGGCAGAGTATGAAACAGGGCTTTCAGGCTCAAGTTTTTGTATCCTAGCACCTTCATAATGACCCTTCCTTTCTATAGTTTTTGATTTTAGAGTCTGTCCTATCCATTTTTTTTTCCTTTCTGGAAAAATAAATGAATATCGGAATCCATCACCTTGCGGTTCACCAAGCAAAGCCCCGAGTAACAGATGGACGATTACTAACAGCAGCTCACGTTTAGGGAGAGGCTGCTCTGTGCTAAGCTCAGGGCCAATAGCTTTAGGAGCATTACCTCAATAATCCTCCCAGCAACTCTACCAAGCACATAGTGTTAATGTTTTTCTTTAACAGATAAGGTAACTGAGACACAGAGAGCTTAAGTAACTTGCAAAAGGTCACATAGCTAGTTAGTGACAAAGCCCCACTTCAAATTCAAGTGTTCGGACTATACACTCCATACCCTCAGATAGCAGAGTCTATGGATTGCTTCTGTGAGTGCGGTTGGTTAGAGTTGGGTGGGTGTGCAGAGGGACAGGGGCCTGGAGAACACAGGGGGGAAGTGGGGAAGACAACAGGGATTGGAAGGCAAAGGGGAGCCCGTAGAATGGGTCATGCAACAGGTACTGACCTGGAAGTGATGAACACACGTTTACATTTTGACAGAGTGGCTTCATAGATTTTTGTCAGTGGGTTAAACCCAGTCTTTCCTCTTTTGTATTTATACTCTTGAAACTCAAAAATATTCACCTTAAGGAATAATGAAATAGGCTGTGTGTGGTATAAATTATGAGCTTTCCATTCAAAGCCTATTTTGCTCTATTTTAGATATAGCTAAAATACTCTTCAAAATAAAATAAAATTGTTTATTGGGAAATCCAGGTTTAAAAAATTTTCTTTTCAGAAAACAGGCTCAGGGCCAGGGAGATAGCTCTGTAGAATAAGTGCCTGCCTGGCAAGCGCAGGGTCCTGAGTTCAATCCATAGTACCGAAAAAAAAAAAAAAAGAAAGAAAGAAAGAAAGAAAACAGACTCCCTCTTGACACAGATATTTAGTCCAGGCTTTGGATGGTTGCCACAGCACCATGCAATGTGAAGGTCAGAAATGAGCCTGGGTCTTCCAGCAAGAGCAAAGGGATGGGGCTATGAGGACAAGGAGCTCTCCCCAATGACAACTATACCTGCTTCATTCTCTTGCTTTGATGCTAAGCCACATAGCAGTGGTGGTTGGGTCTCTTAGACTCTAGGATTGTAGCACAACCTACAGCAGCTCAAGCTTAGCTCATTTTTCTAGAATGTACTGTATAAACATCTTGGGCCATGCAGAAGGTAGAATAGATGTGTACTGTGCCTCTGCTCAGGTACCTTTGACATCAGTCGAAGTCATGTGATGGCCGGGTTAAGTGGCGATGTTCACCTGCATCATCAGAGAGGGATCCCAACTCTGTGTAGCAAGTGGCTCTGAAATCTCAGCTGCTGTTATTTCTCTGGTCAGGCTAGTCTTTGCCAGGGCTGTTTTCTCTGGCCTTGGGGAGGTTCTTCATGCATGGACAGATCAGAGAGTAGCTAAAGACCCCTCTCCAGATCGCTGGAGTTCTGCTTTAGTCCTATTCAGCGCTGCAGCCAGCACATCCTAAGTGCTTGGATTCTCAGAAGTCTGGTGCCTGACTTCCTAGCCTAGCAGGAGCCCTGGCCATTTAGGAGTCCACCTGCCTGAGCTTTGCCCTGCGACCACCCTCGCAGGCAATAAGCAGGCGTGATCAGTCGTAAGGCTTCTCTCCTTTCTTTCCCTTTTCTGAATCTGGTCCTGTGCCGCCTGTTGTTCACCCTGGAAACTGGTTTCATCCACTTGTCTATTTCTAACTGGTTATGGGATGAAATTCAATCCAATCCCTGCTTCTTTACCCGAAAGTAAAGTTTCAGGTCAGTTTTGACACTTCACTTCTGCAGCTAAAAGTGGTCCCAGCTTCATCCTCATTGCTCCAACCAGTAAAACTTTATTTTTGATACTTAAGATAAAAGATGAATGCTTTTATTTGGTGTATTTTCTATCCTCTTCTTTTTATATGTGACGGCTTTTAGCCATCCATTTGTATGGTTGAAATGTTTGTTTGTTCACTTAGCTGGTTAGTCTCATTCTTTAATTTTTCTGTGCTTTCTCTGGTCTTAAGGTTTTTTTATATTTATTGTTTTTCAAAGGGAAATCTATCATTTTGGTTTTCAAGAGGCAGACGAGGTCTTAATAGGAAAGGCAAAAATTAGGAACATTTTTTAAAACTTGAATTAATGGTTAGGTAACTGGCTTTAAAAATTAGCATATGATTTCTGTCAGCTTCTTAGAAATATTAGCTTTTATAGTCATTTAGGGTGCGTGGCTGTCCCGAGATACCACAGTATTTTATAAACCAGTGCTCCTTTCACTGTGTGGGAGGAATCGATGTGAAATAAAGTGAAGTTGTTTGTTGGCAAGGGATAGTTTGGACACAGAAGTTAGATGTAGAAGAGAAATCCATTAGCATGGAATTGAAATGTATTCGAATCCTACTGCAAACTGCAGCCCTATGTGGCTACTGACCTTGGGCTCATGCGTGGCACTTGGAACTTGCTGCCCTTTCTCAGGCAATGCCCCGGCCACCAGCGAGCTGGGTCCTCATCAGAGGAAAGACGCAGAAGCCAGGAAGGACCTTTCAGGCTGCAGCCTCACAGGTGAAATTTCAAGCTGTAGTGTCAGGTAAACAGAAATTTCCAACAGAGGAATGGGTATGTTGTTGAACATCACAGTGGCTTCCTAGACGTCAGGACACCAGTCACACTAGCAGGACATAAAATAACAAGGTTTCCTGTAGCAGAGTTTTCAAAACTGGCATGAATAAGAAATTTCAGACTTTAGGTCAAAGAACTTTATTTCTTACAACTTGAGAATCTAAATAATAACATAACATTTAAACTTTGTCTCTCTAAACCTGTTTCCTCATCTTTATAATGGACACGGATATTTTATAGTTTTAAAAAATTGCACATCTAGCCTGCCTATAAACAACTAGTTTACTTTGTTAGGCTTTATACAAAGAAGTATAAAAACAGAATATTAAGAGCCACTTGGCTATTTCAAAAAACTACGATAGAGCAAGCTACACCAAATTGTCATATTTATTTAAATTAACTAGGAATTTCATGATTAAAATAGAGAAGACAAACACTTATGTTAAGGTGTTATTTAGCATTGGGTCAGGCAGAAATTTCAGTGGTCCTAAAATCTCATTCTTTTTTTCTGTTAGTAATAAAAAGTACAGGCTCAGAAGCTCACATTTGTCAAAATAAAGCTTTCTGAGAAAATCTGAGACCTTTGTCATTAGTGTTCTGTAATTATTGCCTTATTAGAATATACCCACACTGTTGTGGGTTTTTTTCCTGGAATCAAATACACTTGAAGTTTGAGTAATCTCACAGAATAAATAGTGGTAATTTTCATTTTCCCTTTCCTTTTCTGTATCTTGCCTACAATTGGATGATAATTCTGAGTCACTGTGAAATAGTTTTTAATCTTTTAAAAACTAAGTTCCTGAATGGTAAGGAGTTCTTAGATTATTCCTTTCATTCCAGCTACCTACAGCAGCATGTGATGCTGGTCAAACTGCAACTGTGGAGAGGTTGAAAGCCCCTGGCTTCCGGCCCTCATCTCTTCCTAGGCCTTGGCTGGCATCGTTCTTAAGCACCAACTAAAGACAGACCGAAGGTGGCCTGCTACCCAGCAGATTTCTGCAATTTTAAGCCACAGGAAATTGCAGTGATTGAAATGCCAGGCCTGAGTCCTTGTGGGCGGGTAAAGTTTTCCAGACAGGGACAAATAGAGGAGCCTCTTTTGTTTGCTTTTAGTACAACTGCCAATTCAGAGCTCAAAAACATACAAACACCCAGCAGGACCAGGCTACCTTGTGAGATATTCATTTGCCTTTCCTTCTTGTTAGAATGAATTTAGGATTTATAAGTCTCTGTGCACAGCCTCAATTTTTGTCTCTATGTAAAACATGCTATCAATTTTCATTCTAAATTTACAACTCTCACCCTGATTGAATATTTTGTTGTGGCATAACTTTAAGTATTATCTACTTTGCTTTAATACTAACCACTTTTTTTTTATACTGTAGTTCTATATTTCACAGAGAAATAAAAGCAGGAGTTAATTGAAATTTTGCTTGCTTTTCCCACCATTTTCATTGAACATTGACTACCACAACTTCCATTGGTTGGTGTCATGAATGTTAGTGAAATGAGGACAGAACAGGATCTATTAATTCCTTTGAAGTCCTTTGCAAATCAGGTGCTCCCAAGAGCTGAATGCAGCTGGTGAAGTGTTTGCCTTCATGCTGCTTACATTCTGGCGAGAAGGAAGATACAACCAAAGACATAAGTGAGAAGCTCTCACACAGCTCTGAGCAGTATGAGCAAAGTGAGACAGGACCGAGGGTGTTATGGGAGGGGATTCCTTGAGACAGTGCAGCCAGGAGAGGCCCTTCAAGGAGAAGAGGGCTGTGCCATTGGCCGTGGGGTGTGCACACCCCTATGGCAAGGGTGCAACAGAATAAAGGGTCAGTAGAGTGGAGAGAGCTACAGGAAGCAAGGACGGGACGAGGCCAAAGAGTTAGCGGTACTTAGACTACGTTCAGAGGCTCATTGATTAGCAATAATGGCTGTGGTTAATACATTAGCAAATTTACTACTGTGCATCTGCCATGGCTCCTACAGTGATGGCCCTCTTATTATT